ATATATATATATATATATATATATATATATATATATATATATATATATATATATATATATATATATATATATATATATATATATACACACATACATAAGAGAGATAATATAGTGTTACGATAATAAATAATATCTATCTATAATATCTATTTGACTGTATCATTTTAATCGTTGGTGTAAATTGTTTTAAATGTGCTATACAAACAAATTTGACATTAAAATTTTCTATTTGCCTTGCTTTAAAAAAAAACAGTTTCTCCTTTTTTATTTTCATGTGTATTTACTAGCCAACCTCCTTCACATTGTATAGTTGGTGTTTTTTTTTTTTTATTTTATTTAAAATTGTCTCAAAACCAAGTCCTTTTTATTTTGATCTTTCCATTTATTTATGTTTTAATCCTTAATCTGACGTTTTGCCATCTTGTCGTGCAGAAGCCCAGAAACTGCCTTATTATTCTTCCTACGGCCGTACTCGGCTGGCCATCCATGCTCTGTGCACCAGCCACTACCTGGACCTCGTGATCACCTTCATCATCTGCATTAACGTCATCACCATGTCCCTGGAGCACTATAGCCAACCACAGGTGAACACACCTCTTGGTTCAGAGGGATTTTGTGGATTCTTTAGGGCGTCAGGACATCTGGTGATGATTGGCTGTTGGATCTCTTGCAAACGCCTGCTGCAGATTTCTGCCTGCTGTTTGTTTTTGATTATTTTTAGTTATCTCAATAGAGTTTTCTGCTCTTCCATACCAAACGACTGTGATGTAAGTGCACTATGCATAAATCCATAAGAGATTTTCACTGTACAGTAATTAGAACATTTTCAAGCTGCAATACCAATATTGCAGTTTTGAGTATCGGTCCATACCGATACTGACAGAATACCATACCAGCAGGAATAATACAGATTTTGATTATTTATGGGGAATGTTAGAAGACATCTGATCAGGTGATATTACTCAGAGAACAATAGTCAACAACAGTAGGTATGAGAACAACCGACCCATGTATTATTATCCAGTGGGTTTGCATGCAGGTTACAACTCCTGCTGGACAGAAATGCTGGAGAGGACTAAATGCTGGAGAGGACTAAATGCTGGAGAGGACTGCTTCTGCTGGCGTTCTTATATCACAGATTTTAGACAGATTTTATAATCCGATACTCTTTTTTTTTTGGCTAATATCCAACCGATATCCAATATCAATATCGGATCAGGGCGATACTTATAGTAATCTTGAACAAATACACCAAAATTTCATAGTCCTACATAGAATCATGAAATTAATTTTACTTAAAACAAAAAAAATCATATTTCTTCCGAAATGTTGAAACATATTGATTATTACAGTAGTACTAGTAGTAGACCTGGAGTATTCATGGAGGTTAGAGCACAAAACTCCCTGAAATCTGAAAATACTTATAACTATATTAATAGCTTGAACTAAAAAATTTACATATGCATAGATTTTAATATTCATTAATAAACACGGACAGTGGAGACCGTCCGCGTTTATTACCACAGTAGCTAACATCCAAGATTACCTTCATATCTGTCCTTAGGCGTACAGCCAATCAGCACCAAGGAAAGCAAAAGGTGCTTCTGGATTGGCTGCTTTGTAAATCCCAGCCAATAGCGTGCCAAGCAGCAATGCACATTTGTATTTTTAGCTTCTGGAGCTGCATTTTACTTTCAAATCCACTAAAATAATCAACTAATATGCAAATAGACTCCATAGGAAAATCATCAAGTATGTGAATTCACATCTGCTGAACTACAAAGAGGCAGCGGTCCTCTGTATGGCTTTTCTATTAGTTTACATGATGACTTGCAAGGAGTTTATTATAAAGCTTCATGTTCTGAAGTTGTTTGTAGGATATGATAGAAATTACCGAAGCTTCCTTAGCTTCTGCTTCTCTCCATCTACATGAAAATTAGATTTAATCATCATGTGTTTTCAATACCTCATTAATTGCAGAGCAGTAGCTAAAACAAAACAAAAAACAAATGCTGCGTATTTCCTCTCCAGAGTCGCATATAATTTACTTGTCTGTCTCAATTAAACTCGCCTCTATTAAGAGAGATTTTGTTGGCGAGATCATTTGCTCATTCTGTCAAAACACACTCACTGAGCAACACTCCTCATAACCAGTTGAGATTATGTTTTCCTGAGTTCTCAAGTTAAAACGATAAATAAATGAGCAGCAGAATCAAATGAAACGAACAAAGAAAAAAAAGTCCAGACAGAAGACATATTAAAGTTTGCATTCCTGATGCCGTTTCTGTTTCACGCTTTTATTTTTTTCTCTTTGAACTTTTCTGCTGTCAGTCGCTTGAGACCGCCCTGAAGTATTGCAACTACTTCTTCACCTCCACCTTTGTCATCGAGGCGTCTCTCAAGCTAGTGGCATTCGGCTTCCGCCGCTTCTTCAAGGACAGGTAGACCTCCGGCTTTCTAACAGATGCCTGCTTCCTCATTTCGACTTTATCGTACATTAATGTGCTTTTTTTAATGGCTTTCTGCTTCTATATATTTTAATACTGGACAATGACAGTGCAGCCTAGTTTATTTTTTGCTTGTTTTGTTTTGTTTTTGTTTTTTACCACTGGCAGATTTAACTGTAAAGTAATTTTCAAATTTTACTAGCATGTTGAATGTTTTCACAGTTCTCAGCCAGTAGCCAAAAATTATACTTAAGTAAGAGTAACACTACTTCAACGTGTTTCTACTCAAGTAAAAAGTATCCACCCAAGAAATTACTTAAGTAAGAGTAAAAAAGTATTTGGTAAAAAAAGTCTACTGAAGTACTGAGTAATATTTAAAAATTATGTCATCAGATGAACCAAAATATAAAGTTAAGTGGAAATTTTAGTATTTTAAGAACCAAAATGACAACAATCTTTGTACGTAACAGAAAAATAAAAAAAGCAGCTAAAAGAATATTTTTCGAAATCAGTTTCTTTCAATAAAAACTCATGAAACTTTAACAAAAACTGCAGGTGTGTGTCTGAGTCTGGTGAAGTTTTGGTTAAAACATGTTTGTTGTTCATTCAGTGGGTAGAGAATCCAGAAATTTTACTCAAGTAAGAGTAGAGATACTTCAAAATAACATTACTCAAAGTATAGCGTAGTAAAAACACTCCTAAAAGTACATTTTTTCAAAAATGTTACTCAAGTAAATGTAACTAGTGAGTACCCAACGCTGTGGATGAATTCCTGAAAGCATCATTGATGTGATCATAGACTGCTGGGCAGCTTCTTAATCATTAAGAAGCTAAGACTTAATGTGTTGATTTTTGTGTCTTTTTGTCTCGTTATGAAAAGCCTGAACCCAAAGTTTCATTTCTCATCTGTCCACTTCCAGCAGCAGAAAAGCCCCAAAGTTACGACGCTGCCAGCCTTTACAGTTGGAATAATATTCTTGGGCTTGTGCAAGCTTCTCCGTTTCTCCTCCAAATGTACAAAAGGTCATTAGGAAATATTTCCCAGATCTGAGATCTTTGTCCCCAAGAGGATTTGTCAGTTGTAATCTGGCTCCATATCCTTACATGATGGACCAAATGCTATTTTATATTTTATATTTTTTAGGTAGCAAATATTACGGATTCAGTTTATCGGTAACGTTTTTTCTTTAAATACTGCTCCCATCTGCACACTGGTTTGTTTGCAAATATCACTCAGAAATTGGCAACTTTTATGCACAATTGAAACCACTGAATAAAAAAATCTTGTGCCAAAGTTTGACCCAACTCATACAATTTAAAACATACTGACCCCATGTATATAAGCTTTTGAATTTGAGGAAAATTAAACACACACGCACACACACATTTCAATTAGCTATTAGCATCTTCATTCCATTATTGTTATTAATATTAATGACAGCGCCAGCCTTTCAAGTTATGGCCAAATGGTAGTAATTCATCTGCCGGGTTAGAAAGTCAAGCAAATTGCGCACAGAGTTCATACAAAGCATTAATATTCATTGCAAAATTAGTATAATTTAAGCATTTTGTATGTGAATTCCTAAATTTCAGCACTACACACTAATTAGGCAAATCTCTGCTCCTTTTTTTGTCTGATTAATGTCTAATTTAACATCTCGGATATTAGAGATTTTGTTGTGTGTGTGTGTGTGCAGGTGGAATCAGCTGGACTTGGCTATCGTTCTGCTGTCGGTGATGGGCATCACTCTGGAGGAGATCGAGATCAACGCCTCCCTTCCCATCAACCCCACCATCATCAGGATCATGAGAGTGCTCCGGATAGCGCGAGGTAATTCCCTGAACAGACAACAAAACAAAGCGCAGAGACAACAAACGCTTCATACCTCAAGCAGCTGCATCACTTGTTTTGCTGCCTCTGTTGCTGCTAAATAAAGCTGATTGATTAGTGGTTTTAAATGTCTCCCGTTTGGCACTTTGCTTCCTCATATTTAGAGGAAATTAAAGCAGACCCCCGTCGGGGCTTACAGTGTATTTTAACTTCACACTGAAGAGGATGAAGTCTAATTACATCAATCTTGTATAATCCTCACCCGTTTATGTTCACCCTTTGCCCTCCGCTGGGTTGCTGAGGGACTGCTGAGAGGACCCGCGGGTAATATGCTAATTGCTTTGCAACAGCTAGCTGTAATTTGGAAGCAAGAGGGGCATTTGACCGTGCCAGGACTACAAGTGACTTTCAGCCTTTTTTTTTTTTTTTTAATGCTCTTGTTATACTTGCCACATTGTCTGGGCTCTGGAAAAACCTTCCTTGACTTCTGAAAACCACACAGAAAATATTTAAAGTTGATGTTATCTTCTGTATTATGACTAAACTATTATTCTGTCATGTGCCACCTTTTTGTGTTTCTGTCTGTTTATAGAATGTTACACATTTTGTTGAAGGGAATGTAAATGTGATTGACTAATACAGTTTGAAAATGCACTCTGCAATGTTAAAAATCTATAAGAACTATTAGAAATTGATACCTAGGTGCCTTTTGAACTTTACGGACGTATTCATGCCAGCCCGGTGATTTCTGCTTTAATCTAATTCTAGTTTGTTTGCTTGGAAAGTCTAGTTTGTTAGCGCAATCAAACTTCAATGCAGACAAGAAAATTGAACTCTCGTCGGTTAAGATGAACTCCTGTGCATTTCGAATCCATATGTGACCAGAGATCGCTCCAAAAGCAGGAAGCGGACCATAGCACAAGGTATTCTGGGTAAATACAATCAAAACAAATGTGCTAGAATAGCACTAGTGGGAGAAATGTCTTTTGACAACAGTAAAATCCTTCAACCGCTGAAATGTGATGCCACTCCACTTTTGTCTACATTTTGTGAAGGAGACAGATGCGCTCATGTCCTCTTCAGAGGTTTCCATGATGTTTTCTTCAGTGATTCTTGATGCAGCGCCACCACAGGCCAGGAGGGGAACAGGTTGCTCATAGGGCTCAGTTCGTTGGATGCATTGCGATGTGAAAGCAAACCACAGCAGCTGAAAATGCAACAAAAAGTATTACGCTAACAAAAAACCCTATTCTGCAAAATATTTTTTCTTTCTGTGCATTGTTATTAATTCTGGCATTATTGTTCCATGTAGTTTTTGCTATGGTGATTCAGCTATTTTTTTCTATCTCTGGACTCATCAAACATCACAATCATCTCAAACAGTTTTGTCTTATGTAAGCAGAGCACAGCTGACTAAAGCTCCCATATTTCCGGCCGTCGAGCACACAGCCAAACAAACACACAGCCTTGACATTATAGCTCTGCCAAGCCCAACCGCCCCTGCCAGGGACCCAAGACTAATATTGAAGTCATCATTTACAGACCTAATATTGAAATCCTCTGCAGCAAGCCGTTCACACAGACTCCACCAATCTGAGAGCAAACACAAAGCTTCAGATTTGGAATCCCTTCTCTGGGACAGAGCCAGGGATGTTTGGATTTTAGGATCTGAGCTGCTTACATTAAGGTCTTACATGGACTGGCAGCGGCATTTTTGATCCGATCGCCACAATACGAGCCAAGAAAGGAGAGGAGCAACCAGATATTTTATGTAAACATAAATGTGATGATACCTTTGTAGTTTGCATTTTGGAAAATGTCTTTGAATGTCGACAGGTCTGCCATTGACCTGGATTTCTCCAAAAGAATTTCTACCGGGCCAATTCACACTAACAGCCACTTCGTTCGGCTCACCACTTCTCTCTTCGCAGTGGAGGACGGTTGTTTACAACGCAGGCTATATCCGCTAAGCTTCCGAGCGTCAAACTAGCATAACACCGACATGTCCAAACTTTAGTGATTGGGTCAAATTTAACAGAGTCCATGCCGCCAGGAAGCAATCGTTTCTCAACGTTGGAGGGTCCAACTATATTATGCTATATATTATGCTATACAGCGGCTATTTAATGGATATAAAGTGCTACCGTGTATATCTATTATTTTTGTTTGTTAGTTCCAACGAGTAGCATGAACTTTTTTGTAAAAGTAAAGTATTTTAGAATACTGCACTTCATGACTACAGTCTTTGTAAAAAGATATTCAGTGCATATAAAAAAAATCTGTCTTTATGTTCGCATTACAATCATAAAACAATTTCCATTTCTATAAAAACTTTAGCAATAGAATATATTTGTAAACACGCATCCATATTCCTGCTATCTGTGGAGCAGTACGCATCTCCAGTGAGGCTCGTGTGGATTTCTCTCCGGCAGCGTCCGTGTTCCTTCAGAAATTGGACGCCTGGGAACAGTGCAGGGTCTCCTGCGTGAAACACATTCCCCCTCTATTGATCATTTCTCTCGCTCTCTCTCGTGTTGTCTGTCTGTCTCTAATGTATCTTGATTACTCATCTCTATTTGAGGCAGGACTTTTTTTTTCTAGTTTTCTGTTTCACCATTTTTTTCTTCTTTCGATACCTGAACTGCATTGCCTTTCGACCTTCTCTGTGGCGTTTGCAAAATCTACTAAAATTGGATGGTTTGTCCTGTGGCCAAACTTCTCTTATCGTCTGCTATCTCTTCCCAGTGCTGAAATTACTGAAAATGGCAACCGGCATGAGGGCCCTGCTGGACACAGTGGTCCAGGCTCTTCCTCAGGTAAGTCTCATCACGCACACACACACACACACACACACACCTCTCGCAGTATCTTCCCTTAGCTTATTGTGAGGACACCTAGGAGCTAATTAACATTTGCTAAATGATAAACGACCAGAAACTGTGACTGGTCCCAGAGAATTACTGACTTTCAGGAAGTCAGGTTATGGCAAAGTTCTTCTCCCTAATGCCATGAAAATCTGTCTCAGGCCTTTTTATCTGAATTTTTGGGAAATAAAGGAACTCGAGTCACACAAAGTTAAGGGTTTTTATTCCCACAGCTATTAATAAGACAAGAGCAGCTGAAGATTTTGTGCTCCTTCAGTACACAAAGACTCGGCACTCAAGCATTTCCTTCATTTTCATGTGCTGTTAAGTATGAAAGTATGTGGACAATGGCTGGATTTTAGTCCTGTTGGCTTCACTGAGACGTGTAAGGTTAGAACTTTATTGAACATTGGTTTCCAGTGCTGACTTTCAGCTCCAACAAAGGGGTGTTCACATAAAATATGAAGAAAGGTGGAAGAGTCACAGAACCACAGCTGGCGAGAGCATAAACATACCTGCTTAAAGGGGCGGTGTTATGCTAAATTGACCTTTACATCATTGTCGTTGTCTTGAAAATGCAGAGCAGCTCTCCCAGCTCCTTTAGACTAGCCAGCAGCAATTAGCAAACACTGTGCATCTACTGAACTCATTATACGAGCTACTATTCTGAGCAACACTGGCAAAAACGGTGCTAAAGGGTTAACAGAGGAGCTATGTTGTGAATGTGTTGGAAAGAGCAGGACTTTCTTAAAGAGACAGAGGCCTAATTTCAGTGCCTTAAATTACAAAGTCAAATTTCTTTGAAGTCATATCTGATTTAAATACAACATTTTTATAGTTCCTTGTTTGTGCTATAAAGTGAATCTGTGTGGCTGAAAACACATAACGCTGCCCCTTTAAGTAGGTTATCTAAAAAAAAATCTTAAACCTTTTTCAACAGATCTTCCTTTTTTATTTATTTGAATCATTTAATCTTTTTCATTTGCATTAATCCTTCACACCATCTGTGTTCTCTGCTGTCTCCAGGGCGTTTCTGTGTGTATCGGGAAAACCTTCATTCCGTTTCCAAATCATTATCAATTTATGAAGCGCTCTTAGCACAACAGATTAAGTAATAACAGAGTGAGGATCTCAGTCTTAATTTACATCTAATGGTGAGAAAGCACCCAGGTTTCAGCTGTATGTGTTTATCAAGTATCTTCAAATTTAACAGTGTGTATAGAGTCATACATGAAAAGGTGGATGGTGTGTGTGAGGACCTTCCTCCTGAATGGAGACTCAGACGTCTAACTCCTGGTTTCTCCCTGATTATAAGTCAGTGTTTTTGGGGAATGGATCTGAATATTTGGCTGATTGAAGAAAAAACAAATGTACATGATGTATATTTTAGAAATTCCAAGTTCTTCCCAAATTTTTCAACGACCTAGAAATGTTTGTATAAATTATGTAAGTATCTCTCAAAAGATAATCAATGTAAACTCGGCAGGTTTGGAACCCCTAAACGTTCATAACGCAACATGAAACATGTTGGTACAGAGTTTATTTTAAACCTATATTTTCTATTATCTGCACATAACAGATGTTGCAATTTTATATCAGATTGGTAAATGTCAATATGTGACACTATGCTATTCCACTTTACAATCGAACAAAATGACAGATATCAAGAGTTTTGATTATTAGTAGAAAATAAGTGACTCATAGTTATTCCCTGCCTTTCAAACTGGCACTACTGTTTATATATA